CATTTCTGATTGTGTTTATTTGAGCTTTTTCTTGGTCAGTCTAGCTAGGGGTCCATCAATCTTCCTTTCCAAAGAATGAGCTTTTCTTTCATTGATTTTTTTGTATTATCTTTTTGTCTTCTATGTCCCAAATTTGGGCTTTTATTTTGGTAATCTGGATTCTTCTGCTGATGTTAGGGTTTTGGTTGTCTTACTTTTCCAGCTTCCTTAGGTGATTTGTTAGGTTGCTAATTTGTGAACTTTTCATTTTCTTCATGTGTGTTTGTAGAGATATTAATTCCCCTTTTAGTATTGTTTTCATGGTATTCCAGAGGTTTTGGTAAGACGTTCCTTCATTTTCATTTATTTCCAGGTATCTTTTAGTCTCTGTTTTGGTTTCCATGTTAACCCAGGAGTTGGTTAGCATCATGATGTTTAGTGTCCATGTCTTTGTGGGTTTTGGGGGAACTTTGTTGGTGTTGAAACTTATTTTTATTCCACTGTGGCCTGAGAAGGTGCATGGCAGTATTTCAATCTTATGGAATTTGTTTATGCTTGATTTATGGCCAAGGATGTGGTTGATCTTAGAGTTCTATGTGGTGATTAGTAGAATGTATATTCCGTGGTTGTTGGGTGGAGTGTTCTGTAGGTATCAATTAAGTCCATTTGTCAAGCATCACATTGAGGTTCTGGATCTTTTTGTTGATTTTTTTGTCTTGATGATCTGTTTAGGGTTGTAAGTGGAGTATTTAAGTCCCCAGCTATGATAGTGTTAGAATCTATATCTTTTTTAAGTTTACCTAGAAGATGCTTTATGAAATACACACGAAAAAACAAAAACAAACCTCGCTCCAGGCTCTTCGTATAACTTCAACTTTGTTTAATCTCTGGTCTTCAATTCTTCCCCCCTGCTCTCAGTGCAGGCTGATAGGGTTGCTCTCAGTGTGGGTCAGATGCCTCATGGACTGTTGTGGGAGGAGAATGGATCAGATGTGGACTCACCCAACTTGTTACTGCTTTAGGTCTCCCACTCAGATTTGACGTGTTTGTGCCTGTTCCATTGTGGGGGAGGGGCTTCTGTCTCTCTGAATTTGATGAGGAGATAACCTCTGGGTCCCAGGTTGGAGGCTGGGAAGAACTGGGTAGGACAATGCAGGTCTCTGCCTGGTCCTGGGACAGAAAAAATGGCTCCGGTTGGTGTTCTCTCACCAGTGGCAGGGCTTCTCTCCAGCTCTCCACGACTTGCTCTCTCCACAGATCCCAGGGTTCGTGCCACTCTGCTGTCACAGGTGATGGTGTGGGCTGGGCATCAGGTGGTTTGGATCAGCTGTTTTCCACTGCCTCTTCTCAGGAGAGCCCCAGGAACAGCAGAAAATCCTGCACTCTGGGGGCTCCAATCTCAGGGCAATGGGAGGCTGCAGTTATCTTCGGAGGAGAGCCCTGGGTACATGAACCTGAGTCTTCCCTCAGATGAACTTTCACTCACCCACCGGCACACACCCACTCATGCAGAGAGTCTTTATTGATACTCATTTTTGCAGAGACTCTGACAGTCTGATCTGTTCCATCACCATCTTGCCAGAAATCTGAAATTTGTTTTTTATGGGTCAAAATTTGTAGAACAACCAGAAATTTCATATGAGTCCATTTAATTGAATTTGTAAGTAACGTTGTTGCTGGGATTGATTAGACTTAAGTTGGCTTCTGGCTTTCTTGTCAACAGAATTGGGGTAGGTGCTGAAACAATGTGGCTTACAGCAAGCCTGAGAGTGCTTGGTGTGTGGTAGTCCTGGGGCATGAGTACGATCCTGGAGACTGAGCCTAGTGCCCAGAGAATATGCCATGCTCTCCCTTTCCTTAATGTTTGCTCCCCTTGCCTAGTGGCCAGACATTCAGAGTCTTCTCAATTTTGTGTGTGTGTGTGTGTGTGTGTGTGTGTGTGTGTGTCAGAGTCTCACTCTGTCTCCCAGGTTGGATTTTTTATTTACTGTAGAGACAAGGTCTCACCAAGTTGCCCAAGCTGGTCATGAACCCCTGGGGTTCCAGGCAATCCTCTCACTTCGGCCTCCCAAAGGGCTGGCATTACAGGCTTGAGTCACCATGCCTGATTATATTCTTAGGTTTTACTCTTACCTGTAAAGAAACAAACATTTTTGCTCTGGATGATTATAAAGACTTTAAAAGAGAGAGGTCTGTGGAAGAGAGGACAAAAATAGGTATATCCCAAGGCTTTATTTTCCTGGCGCTCCCCAGTAGCTTGAAGCAGATGGAACCAGAAGCACGATTTTTGTAGGTCCCAGTGATGCTGGGGAGGTGGAGGACTGAGTTCTCACTTTTGCCCCAGTCCGTGGAGCTTTTGAGTGAGCTGGTGGGCTAAGCATAGCTGGTATCAGTGTGGTGGAGACTGAGCTGTCCTGTCTTTACGTCCTTTTTGACTGACCCATGGGATGGAAGCTGTTGTTGTAAAACCTCTTCTTGGTTCAGGGATGGGGTATTCCCAGATTCTTCTCCTAACCTCCAGGGATCAGGGCAAGTTTTGAGGCAGGGTCTTCTGAAACTAGCTGAGCACAGCCAACCGGAGACCATATCTCTTCTTCTCTTTATCCCACTTCTGGGTGCTACTGTGCCAAGTTGTCTCTTGCCACACTCAGACGCTACAGTTCCAATGCTTGGGAACTTGAGGCCACCGATCTCATCATGGTTGGCCTGTTTGTCATCCTAAGTTACCACTCAATACATAAGACCCACCAGTGTCAGGCCTGTTCCATGAGTACTGCTTTATGCCTCTTTGACATCCCATCCTGGACCTTTGATGAGGGTTCAGGGACCTCTTGAGCCTTCTTTTATGCTAAATGTTCTGGCATCCCTATGCATTCACTGGATATTCCCTGGTCTTCCTTCCTGGGCCTCCCTTGAGAATTCCTCTCCTCTTTCTTCCCTAGAATAGAGAAGTCTTCTTTTCCAGGAACTGTGGATTTTGAAGGCAGAGATCAGAATTTAGCTCCACAGGGCTGCTTCAGATCTATTGTTTTTCTTCCTCCTATGACACTCTTCCTTAGTCGAGGCCAGTATCATCCAGTGATGCCAGATACCCCCTCGCTTTGGCAGTGTCAAATAGTGCCCATTCATTTCTCCATTACCAGAGTCTTCCTCTTCATCCTGAGTCTTATGCTCATCTATATTGATCTCAAAGGCCATGTAGACAAGTTGTCCAGCCTGAATCATTGTTTCTTGGCCCCCATACTGGGTGACCTCCACCTCATCAAGTGTTGAAAGCCCAGCTCAACTCCGTCCTTTGAGTACTCTTAATTGGTTATTCCCCCCGGTACTTTCATTTGATTCCATTACATCCTCTTGATGCTCTGAGTTTTCAGGGGGCGGGGAGGGGAGGGGTCTGCCCTTTCTGCCCTTGGCTGGTGGTTGATCCCTTGGACCTCCCTATCCTTTCCTCATATCTACTTGGAAAAGCCCCAGTCTAGGATATAGGCAAAGGTCCTTTCCACTGTCCCTGAACTGAGTCTTCTGAGAAAATAATCAGGACTTCATACTTGTCTGAAAAATATGTGTCAAGAGTCCTACTTTGTGTGAAGTAAGAAAAGTCAATGAGACCGCCAGTCCCTTTGTGCACACACATTTAATGGTCACCTTCCTTGACATCCTTGCTCAATTTCCCACTGGAGAAAATACAAACCAGTATTATTGATGTAGATCTCTCTCTCAACAACAACTATCTCAGATAAAAATGGAGGCAGAGTAATTAGGGAGACTGTGAGGAGAAAAGGGGTAACAGATGTCCATAAGTAAACAGTTTGACTGTAAATGTGATTGTTAAGCTCATCAATTTTTAGCATGTGAGAAGATCAGTCCCAGCTACTACCTTGTCATCTCATCTGACACCTGTGTCTAGATGGAAATAATCTCAGAACAGATTGTGGATTATAATTAAAAAACAAAAAGCATTCTGTGTAGATGTGCTGGGCCAAAAGGCCCATCCTGGCACAACTGAAGTTTCTGCTACAATTGATTCAAATACACTCGTGAATAATTATTTTCTATTCTTTTTTTAAAGAAAGCATAAACAACAGACGCCTACATGTAGGATACGACATGTGGGTCCTGTGGGGGTAACTTTAATAATTCTCAGCCCACTCTTATGGTTTAACTGAGCTACACATTTTGTTGTTTTCCAGTTTCCTTTCCTTACCTGGACAGAAATTGGGGAAAACTATGTCCATGTAAGGAATATACATGTGTACCCCCTGAGTCTAAAATTAAAAAAAAAAAAAAAAAAGGAAATTGGGGAAATCAAACCATTTTTGTCTCAGCTACTTTATTCTGGCTAGGTATAGTGGATCAGGAGATAGTAAGTCTTATTTGATTTATGTATATTCTCATTATTTAAGCTCTGGATGTTTATATGACCCGTGGTGTCTTTCTTTTTTTAAAAATTTTTATTTTAAAGATGTGGGGTACAATTCAGGATTAGGCATATCAGTGTCTTTTTTTTTAATAGGGAGGGGGAAAACCGTCTGGAGAAGGGAGTTTCTTTTCTTTTCTTTTTTTTTTTTGAGTCAAAGTCTCACTGTTGCCCAGGCTGGAGTGCAGTGGCATGCTCCAGTGAGTTCAAAGTCAAACTGAAAAAAAACTGTTCTTGGCAAAGAGGTAGCATTTGTTTATTTTGAGTCAAGGTCTCACTGTTGCCCAGGCTGGAGTGCAGTGGCATGATCATGATGATCACACGTCATAGTAGCTTCGACCTTTTGGGCTCAGGCAATCCTTGCAATCCTTCTGCCTCAGCCTCCTGAGTAGCTAGGACTACAGGCATGTGCCATCATGCATGGCTAATTCGTTTAAAATTTTTTTAGAGACAGGTTTTGCTGTATTGCCTAGGCTGGTCTCAAACTCCTGGGCTCAAGCAATCAGCCTGTTTCAGCCTTCCAAAGTGCTGGGATTCCAGGCGTGAGCCACCGTGCCTGGCCACATTTGGATTTTTTATAGTTCTGGAATGTTCCTGCCTCTTATTGGTGTTTCCTGGGCAGCAAACTCTGCCCTTTCATCTCAGTCATGGATCCTTAAGGGTCATTTTATCTTGGAGTGGCTGGAATGTTCACAGAGTCAGGCCTTAACTGGAGAGGGCTCCTGAGGTGTGGCCCTTCTTGAGGATCCCTGTGGGTTCTAAAGAAACCGCTGCAGGCCCGATGCTGACTCTGTTCTGTACTCATGGTGTTCCATAGAAGAGACTGGAGATTAGACCTAAGTATTAGTATCAAGCCTCCATCACTTCAAACAGACCCTCAGAGGCCACACTTATAAATGTGAATAGTAGAATCAGTAACCTTCAGGAAAGTTTTGGGGAAGGCCAAAGAGCTCTCTGAACTCATCTTGACTAATACCGTGTTGTCTTTTTCCTGTTGCAGGACAGCAAGGATTTTGTGATCATTCTCTAAAATATTTAAGCTCAAGGATCACAGAACGGAAACTGCAAGGCTCCTGGCTACCTGCTGGCCGAGGGAATCTGGAGAAACCGTTCCTAGGGCCACGTGGTCCTGTCGTGCCCTTGTTCAGCCCCCGCAATGGCCTTCACTCGGCCCACACTGAGAACAGCCCACTGAAGCCCAGGGTTGTGACCGTGGTGAAGCTGGGCGGGCAGCCCCTCCGGAAGGTCACTCTCCTCCTCAACAGGCGGTCGGTGCAGACGTTCGAGCAGCTCCTAGCAGACATCTCAGAAGCCTTGGGATCCCCGAGATGGAAGAATGATCGTGTGAGGAAACTATTTAACCTCAAGGGCAGGGAAATCAGGAGCGTCACTGATTTCTTCAGGGAAGGGGATGCTTTCATAGCCATGGGTAAAGAACCATTGACGCTGAAGAGCATTCAGGTGGCCATAGAAGAACTGTACCCCAGTAAGGCCCGGGCCCTGACACTGGCCCAGCACAGCCGTGCCCCTTCTCCTAGGCTGAGGAGCAGGCTGTATACCAAGGCTCTGAAAGGGGACCACCGCTGTGGGGAAACTGAGACCACCAAGAGCTGCAGTGAGGCTGCAGCTTGCAAGGCGGCCACTGGGCACCAGGGGAAGACCCCCGTGGAGCCGGCGCTGGAGGACAGAGCGAAGTCCCAGAAGAAGTGGGTGAGGGGGAAAAGGGAGCCTGAACCTGGAAGTAAGCCACCCAGGGAGGCCACTCTGGAGGAGAGGAATGCAAGGGGAGAGAAACACCTGGGGGTGGAGATTGAAAAGACCTCCGGTGAGATTATCAGATGCGAGAAGTGCAAGAGAGAGAAGGAGCTCCAGCAGGGCCTGCAGAAGGAGAGACTCTCCCTGGGCACCAGCGAGCTGGACATGGGGAAGTGCCCAAGGTATGACGTGGAGAAGCTGGTGAGGACAAGAAGCTGCAGAAGGTCTCCTGAGGCTAACCCTGCAGGAGGAGAGGAAGGGTGGAAGGGTGACAGCCATAGGAGCCCCAGAAATCCCACTCAAGAGCTGAGGAGATCCAGCAAAATCACAGAGAAGAAAGAGGACAGAGACCCAGAGGATCAGGAAAGCCATCCTCAAGGAGCAGGCAAGACCAAGAAGGACCTTGTGGAAGTTCTACCAGCCACAGAGGAAGGATCCAGGGAAGCAAAGAAAGATCCCAGGCACATCTGCAGGAGCAAGCATGGTGGCTGGCTCCTGAGAGAGCACCAGGCTGGCTTCGAGAAGCTCCCCAGGACCCGAGGGGAAGACAAGGAGGCAGAGAAGGAGAAAAAGTCCTGCGTGTCAGGAGGGAGAAAGACGGCCCTCAGAGATGACCAACTTGGAAGGGTAGAAAAGGACCCCAAGACGAAGCCGGAGGAGAACAAGTCAGAGCGGCCCAGTGGCCGGAAGCCACGGCCTGTGGGCATCATCGCGGCCAATGTGGAAAAGCATTATGAGACTGGCCGGGTCATTGGGGATGGGAACTTTGCTGTCGTGAAGGAGTGCAGGCACCGTGAGACCAGGCAGGCCTACGCGATGAAGATCATTGACAAGTCCAGACTCAAGGGTAAGGAGGACATGGTGGACAGTGAGATCTTGATCATCCAGAGCCTCTCTCACCCCAACATCGTGAAGTTGCATGAAGTCTATGAGACAGAAACGGAAATCTACCTCATCCTGGAGTACGTGCAGGGAGGGGACCTTTTTGATGCCATCATAGAAAGTGTGAAGTTCCCGGAGCCTGATGCTGCTCTCATGATCATGGACTTATGTAAGGCCCTCGTCCACATGCACGACAAGAGCATTGTCCACCGAGACCTCAAACCAGAAAACCTTTTGGTAAGCCCTCATTTTTGATGCTCTGGGAGAGGGTCAAAATAAACATGAATTGCATTTGTTACCCTCATGAGCTAGAACATTACCTTTATGTTACTTTACATACTTGTTCCAGTATTTAAAATTTTAGTTATAGTTTATAAGTTGCTGAGATAAATTGGCATGGATTAAATTGTTAAAATATTAAACCTTCTGCTGTAAATAAAATGGAAAATGTTTCCTCATCCCTAAAAGAAAAATCCTGGAAGATAACAATGACCATGTGGATTTAATTTCCTGGCCACTTGCATCCTCGGACCTCGGTACCCAGATGTCTATTGGTGGCAGCTTCCCCTTTAGGCTTTGTGTCCACCATCCACTCTGCCGCTGAGATGCACCTCTAGCCCTTTTGAAGATAACGCTTTGCCCAGGAACACAAGAGGTGTAGTGCTGTAGGGATCTGTGCATGTAGTGCTTAAGAGGCCTGGAGCTAGAGTCACAGAACCTGGGTTTGAATCTTGGCTTTCTTAGTTTCTTGCTCTAGGATAATTCTTTCTCCTCCCCAGGTCTTTATTTTCTCATCTCTACGGGAGAAACGGTGATGGTACCTATCTGGGAAGGTTGAGTGCAGAGTGAGCATGGGAAAGAGAAAAACAACCCCTGACAGTGGGGAGTGGCACTATTCTCTGGGCTGTGGTATTCTCTGGCTGAGCACAAACAGTTCACAGATCAGCAACATCAGATAAGGCCACTCTGTGACCATGATGAGTTAGACAAAAGCAAAACCCCTTTATAAGAATGTCCAGATGCAGATGAAAAGATGAATATTGTCCAGATCACACATACGGCCATATATTCATTCATTCCCCTTTTGGCTACTATGAGTGATTGACTGCCTTGCTTCCTTCTTCCCACCTGCACATAAGAATTTTTAAGAATTACCTCACGTGCTGACACTATACAATCCAGACCAAAACCGCACTTTCTGGAACCCTCTTCCCCATCCCTTAACAGACCTCAGATGTTATGTATAATAAGTCCAACCTTGATGCCCAGATCCCAGTGGTGTGTGTTCTCCCTTGTTGCAATGAGTCGATGAGCTCGATGTGTTTGACTGCAGTGTGTTCCTGGTGGTCTTTGTCAGGACAACATACCTCACAATGTTACCCTCTGGTGCCCTTACCCCGACTTCTTTTTTCATAGCCTCTGTCACCACTTACTACATTCTGCATTTAGTTTTCTGTCTTCCTTCTCCTCTTACTGGAAAGAAAGTTCCATGACAGCAAGGACTTTGTTTTATTCAGTCTGTTCCAAAACCCAGGACAGTTCTGTCACACAGGAGATATTTAGTAAATATTAGTTGGATGACTGCATGAAGATCATAGCTTGCTGCCTGGGAAGTAGCAAGCATTCCATTAGTGGAAGCTACCATCACTGTTATTATGTTAAAAACAACGCTCATTTCAAGGTGGATGACATGAGGAAGGCTTCCAAGCCAGATTGCTGCAGATGGAGCAATAGGCACGGAGACAATGATCCCAATGGGCCATATTTTTGGGGGACGTGGGGGGGTATGGATAGAGGGACTGTTTCCTTTAATTCCCACAGCTGTAGACCCACCCTGGAAACATCGTCCCAGTGCATTCATCTGTCTGTAAACTGCTCCCACAAGCAGGTTGAAACACTGAGTGAGCCAAGCTAATTATCTGGTGGAATGAGGTCTACGTTAACCACTGAGTCAAACAACCTTGTTTCTGTACAAATTCATAGAAAATCGCAGAAGCAATTGGGCTGGTTGCCTGAGTGGTCTGAATTACCATCACACAGCTCTCTCTTTGAAAAATTTCAGTTTTGCATTAGCTGGGTGTTCTTGTCCTTTCTTCACTTGCTTTTTGATTGTTTCTGTCTTTTGGGTCTAAGCCCAAATGTTTCCCATATGCAATGTGCTGTGCACTGTTTATTATGGACACTTTAGAATTGCAACAGAGCATTACTCTTTAACAACTCTCTGCCGTTTTCAATGAATTGTCTAAGCAGGAGAGATTCAGATGAGAGACTTGAGTAGGTCTCATGAGCTCAACATTTCAGGCTTGTGTCTGCTAAAGCATTTTAACAGTTATACAAGTTTTCAAATATGTAGAATGACATCATTTGCCCCATAAGATCTTTTTTTTTTTTTATTTTTGGAGACAGCTTAGCTTGCATTTTTTTCCAACAAGGTTCTAGAATCAATCTGTTGAGTCGGCCCCTCTCTTGGGCAATAGAGGTTCTCACTTATGTGAAGGGACATACTTGTCAGCAGTTTTTGAAATGGAGAAAGCTAGCACCATTTTTTGATTGCATGGGGAAGTTTGTGTGAGGAACTAGAAAAACTGCAAGGAATATATTTAGTATATTTAGTATGGACAAACTAATTGCCTGGAAAGTCACGTGGCAATTCTTCATGGATTTAAATGTCAGTGTATATATGCTTTTAGTGCTTTGAGGCAAGGAAGAGAGAGAGAGAGAGAGAGAAAGAGAGAGAGAGAGAGAGAGTGTGTGTGTGTATGTGTGTTAGGGGTGGGTTGGGTAAACTGTAGAGTAGATAATTTTTCAGCCTAAACACATGAGTTGTTTACTGGTGTTGATCCTAATTGGTATGTAGGCCTTTCCTCTTCTGTGATTTCAAAGAAAGCCAAAACACTTTTTAATGGTGGTATGGCTTCTTCAGAAATTGTAAAACGCTCAAGTCATCTTTTGTGGAATAGGTTAATATATTTGCTCTCCTGTGGATAATTTGTCAGCTTGCATTTATCAAGTTGGACAGGCCTGTCACATTTATAAAACATGTTTGTCCTTTTTCTGGGTGAGTAAAGTTCAACATATTGTTATGTCAGAAGTCTAAATGCTATCTAATGTCAGCACTTTTCCGTTTTTTCAGACAGAGATGGATAATGTTGGATTTAACAATTCAGTCATCATCTGCGTTTACTAAGATGTCATCTCTAAACTTGCTGATATAATTACATTGCAAATTTGCTTGGTCTTCTAAGATTTAATATTAGTAGATCTCACCATGGTGACTATTGCTTCTCCATTAGTGCTTTCCAGTTGCCTTCAAGTTAGTGTTTTGCACTTGTGTTGAGCTTTGTATTGTCAAACGAATTGCGTCTTTCTTGGATGGATGGCTGCACTCTCTGTTAAGACCTGTCTTTGCTAAGCTTAGGAAAGTGATTATGTTAGCACTAACTTTTGATTACACAGTTGATTGTTACTTACTGCTTTTAGAGACTTTCTGTATGTGCTAAAAGCTCTTAGTGAATACAGCAAGCTTATCGTGTTGTTTTAATCAACAGAAATATTTATATCTGATAATTGGGCCTTAGAGTAAAATTTTAGTCCTATATTGCTCAGTTCATCTATTTCTACTGATCACATTTCCTGATAAGGTCCTAGTGCTTTTCTTCCCTTAGGGTTATTTAGACTCCTGAGGTCTTACAAAAGAAATTTTAATTATAAGAATTTCCAGCTTGCAGAAATATTGGTGTTAATTACTTCTTCTGCCAGTGTGTGCTCCCTTGGAGGGGTTGGAATACAGTGGGTGGTGCTGGCTGGCCCCTGAGGCAGGAGAGGAGGAAGCAAACAGGAGCCAGAGCAGTGATCATCATCAGACCAGCTCACATGGAGTGGGAAGGGCACAGGCCAGCTTATTTATAGCCAGTGGTTTAGTGGTCATATCTGGCAAAGTAAGCTGGGTGAGCAGAGTGAGGGAAGAGACTTAGGAGAAGTCAGACATGAGCAGGGTTATTTGAGAAAGTCTCTCCCAGGATAAGGGGAAGAGAAGGATGGTTCCCCCTCTGGAAACAGGGCTGAAAGGAAGTCGTAGCTGGGTGGGCAGGCTTCTGCACCTTGACTGGCATAGAGGGTGTCACTTCCCCAGTCCTGCCCACCCCCCACCCAGGTGCTTACAGCTCTGAAATGCTTGGAGCAGAGACCCTTGGAATCGAGAAGATGGCAGTGGGGATTGTGGGGACAGGTCACAGCTTGGTTGTGGACAGAGGTCGTCCCCTCTTTCTGGCCTCCTGTTGGTTCTAGGAAGGGACGGATTTATCTATATATTTAACTGCAGGATTGACTAGGACAGGGCAGTGGCTGGTGTCTCCAAAGGTGCCAAGAAAATCTAGAAGGATAAAAGTGACTAGAGACATACATACTTCCTGCTCATTCTTCCTCTACAATAAACCCTTTCAATTATTTTGTTGATCTGAATTCCCTAAGTTCTTTTCCCACCTCTTTGAAACACGAGGACCCGCTGATTATTGCTATTTGAGTCCGTGGTTCTGTAATGCATAATTCTCCCTGATCAGGACACTTGTCTTCTGCCAGATCCGATGTCAATCTCCTTTCCTCAGCCTCTAAGATGGGGGTGCACACCACACATCTTCTCATTAATGGTCCAAATGTTTATGAATGCATTTATATACCAATCACATTATTTTAAAAAATTGATAAGAGCTATGAAGCAAATCTTAAGCTATACTTAATAAAATGAAGAGATGTGGGCTTCAACAATAACATGCGATCACTGAAGGAAAAGTACAGTGATATAGACCTTTAAGTCCAAACTTTGATCAAGTCAGTGAGAATACTGCTATATAAGAGTTAGAACTTCTCTCTGGAACTGCAGGATGTGTTCTTGCCAGGAAACATTTCAGTGGTGACTTCAGGTTTATATTGGTGAGAGTGGCTCTCAGTATCCATTTCAGCAGTTTCTAGGAAAATAAAAGTATCTGTACACTCAGTGGCCATGCATATTATCCAGGGTCTGGCTGCTATATAGCCAAAAAAGTGTTCCCTAAGTGAGGTGAGTTTCAGGAAATCTCTTCAAGTCTTCAAAATTCTAGATATACTGGGTCATCTTTTTTTTTTTTTTTTGATGGAGTCTCACTCTATCGCCCAGGCTGGAGTGCAGTGGCGTGCTCACCACCACCGCAGCCTCTACCTGTTGGGCTCAGGTGATCCTTCCACCTTAGTCTTCCAAGTAC